AAGCAAAGATTTTTCAGTGACTATAGAGAGACATGTCTGGTTGGTTAGAGACGATGAGGGAATACGGGGGGAGGGAGGGGGAGTGAAAGTCAACTGAATGGCGCCGTCGCGTCGCATCGCGACGCCACACCCCACCAGACCTAAAGCTGCTTACGAGCTAACACTAAGGGTAAACCACCCTTTAAAGCGATCGCGCAAAATTAAACCCGCTATTTTTTCTCCCTTCAGAACGCCTATCAGTAAATAGCGATTCTCCGGATAGTGAACCACCCCTCTCACTCACTCATTTTTTTTCAGTGTTTCTCAACTTTAATTTTTTTTCATTATGTTAATTTTTACCCTCAATTATTGTATTTTATTATTTATTTAAAAATTTTAATTATTCATATTTTTACATATTTAATAATAGGTATATATACAAAATAGGAAATACTTTTTACAGGATTGCCACGGGTCAGGAAAAAGTCAGAGAATTTTATGAAAAGTACTGGAAAAATATCAAATTTCTAAAAATGCTGCTAAAATTATAATTTTTGAAATTTTCAATTCAAACTTTTGCTGCTAAAAATGATTTTTTTACATTTTTATAATTGTAGGCCTTGGATCGACTTTTGAAAGAAAAAAAAGTCATTTTAGTCGATTTACATTACAAAAGAAAAATTTAAAAAGTCGTTTTTTTTTATTTTGAATAAATTTAATTAGTTGATAAATATTTTATTATTATTATTAACAATTTGTTATTAGAAATTAAATAAAATTTATTCTTTGTAAAAGTACACAATGGAGAAAGTACACTAATTAAACTTTGAAGAATTTTGAATTCGAAAAAAAAAAATTTCTTAATTTGACAGAAATATTTTCAAGAATTTTTCTTTTCAAACCACCAAATTAAACTGAGTCAAATTTTCAAGATTTTAATTCAGTTTCAGAACAAATTTTCAAAAATAATTTAAAGGTACATTAAAAAAAATAAAATTTATCAAAAGTCTCATTTATGCACATTATTCGAATTCAAAATTTCAAAAAATGTATTAAATAATTAAATTTTTAAAGAATTTGATTAAATTATTATTGAAAAAAAAATTAATTTTAAATGAAAATTTGTGAAAATAATTAAATTTCAGAAGATTTTTAATTAAAAATTTTAAAATAATTGAATTTGGAAGAGTTTGATAAAAAAAATTTTTAGAAATAATTAAATTTTAGGAGATTTTCAATTGAAACTTTTATAAATTTGAATTAACGAAATTTTTTTTTACAAATTTCAGACAATAATATTGAATTTTAGAGAATTTTCAACTGAAATATGTTCTAAATAATTAAATTTTGATGGAGTTACAATTAAGATTTTTAGAAATAATTGAACTTTTTGAGATTTCAAAAATTATAATTTTGTTGTAAATATAAACATTAATTAAAAAACGATTTAAATAATTGAATTTTTGAAAAATTGTATTAAAACTGTTGAAATAATTAATTGAATAAAAAATTATATTGAGAAAAATTTGAGAAAAACATTTTCAATTGAATTGACATTCAATTAATTATTCAATTACTAATTGAATTTGGAAGACTTCGATTTCAAATTTTTTTGAAAATAATTAAGTTTCAAAAGATTTTTAATTAAAATTTTAAAAATAATTGAATTTGGAAAAGTTCGATTTAACATTTTTAGAAATAATTGAATTTTAGGATATTTTCAATTAAAACTTTTATAAATTTGAATTAACGAAATTTTTTTTACAAATTTCAGACAATAATTGAATTTTAGTGAATTTTCCACTGAAATATGTTCTAAATAATAAATAAATAAATACTAAATTAAATAATTACTAATTGAATTTGGAAGAGTACGAGTTAAAATTTTCTTGGAAATAATTAAATTTCAGAAGATTTAAAATTTTAACTTTCATAAATTATAATTGATAAATTTTTTTTTACAAACTTTAAAGAATAATAGAATTTAGAGTATTTTTAATTAAAAAACTTTTTATTTCCCTGTAGTAATTAAAAAAATTAACTTAACGAAGAATTATAAATACAATTTTTAGAAATAATTGAATTTTTGAGAATATTAGAGAATTTTCAATTGAAAAATGTTTCAAAAAATTGAATGTTCAATTTTTGAAATTTTCATTTAAAATTTTAATAACCTGGAATTAGTGAAATTTTTTAAAGAATTTATAATTAAAAAACGTTTTATATAATTGAATTTTTGAAAAACTTGATTAAAGTTAATATAATATTAAAGTTATAAATATTTTCATTAGGGTAAGGGAAAAAATTTTAATTTTAACTGGAAATCAGGGAAAAACAAAATTATATTTTTGTATCGATTCTGTTGAAATAAAATAAATAAAAATTTTTTTAAATAAAATTCCAATTGTCAATATATATATATATATTTAAAAAAAAAAAAAAAAAACATCAAAAAGTAATCAAATTACTGGTCTGTTATGAAATTGTACCTATTCAATCATGCATGTATATATTTGTTTCAATTAGTTTTATTTGACGAAACAAATAAAAAAGGGTTGGGAAAAAGAAATATAAAGTGAAACGCACAAGGGTAATTTAATTTTGAAAAAAAAACAATTATTTATTTTTTATTTGAAACCTTTGTAATTTTAACGCGTGAAGAATAAAAATAAAAGTAATTGATTTTTTTTTCGCGTAATATATAAATAGTTAATTAAAAATAAATTTTCAAATAATAATAATAAAATAAATGTCAATTTATAGTAAAAATAGTAATAATAAAAATTAGAACATAAATGGAAATTAATAGTAAAATAAATAATAAATAATAAAAATAAGAAAATAAATGAGAATTTATAGTAGAAAAAATAATAATAAGAAAATAAATAGGAATTTATCGTGAAAAAAATTTTTTTTGCCAGCATTTAAATTTTGCAGCACACGTCTCCATTTATGAAAATAAATGGAAATGTACATAGAATTTTACCTTTTTGCCCTCACCTTACAGAGATTTCTGCTCGTTCAGCGCAATCCTAGAAAATGGAATAAGTTTTCTTCTCAGCAAGGAAGCACGAGAGTGCAACAACCATCTAGCTCCCAACTCAGATGGTTATGCTCCAATTAAAGTTAATCGTGGCCTTTTTCGTATAAGGGACGATTAAGTATAAAAGCTCAGTGAGGTAATCGCCTATCATCTCGTGTGAGAAAACAGAGAGCTAATCATATTAAGACTAACAATAAAGATATGCAGTTACACAAGTAAATTTTTATTTAACTATTTAATTAATTATAATTTTTAGATAACTCAAATCATCATTCATCTCGAGATCTATATCAACAATTTTAGTTCTCACGTGAAATAGGATTTCTCAAAAAGAAAAATTAAGAACATGTTGTTCTTAAAAGAGACAAAATTCATTTCATTTCTCTCTCTCTCTCTCTCTACTCTTTTACTTTCTTTGACTAAGATAAATGAAGCACAATCCTATGTCTTATCTTGCAGCAAAATTACTGACCTTATTTATATTCCCCTTTTCTTTCTTTTTTTTTGTAAGAAAAAATTATAATAATACGTTTTTTTTTTATAAAAATAAGCTTTTATTTTATCATGACAAAATTTATTTTTATTCTCGAAAATTGTATGTTATATTTTAAATAGGTTACAATCTAAAAAAGTAGTTTCATGTTCTTTAATAAAATTAGAAAAAAAGACTCTAAAAGATATGTCTCTCATGTAATAAGTTTTTAACAAGTATTATTTTTGACGTCTATACATAAGAGTGTTGGTTTGAGTAAATGGAGTAAAAAAAACATCCTTATACTATTTTTGCCTTTTTCTTTGTTCAAGAAATAGCTAGGTAGAAAAGAGTTCATATTTCTGGAAAAAGAAGATAAAATAATTACGTTAGTGGAAGTGATGAGGCAATGAGAAAAGCGGTGTATGTCAAAGAAATAATTCAAAACTTTTTTATATATACAAGACGAAGGAAATGATACTAAATATTTTTATTAAAGTTAATTTTAATTTTAATCTATTTTATTTAAATTAATTATAACACACTGAAAAAAATTATTTTATTCAAATAATGGATTACTTGACTATTATCAAATAAATATATTTACTTGAATTAAATAATTTTTATTTGAATTAAATAAACACTATTTGGAGCAATAATTTCTGTATTTGAAACAAATAAAATTTAATTTAGTTAAAAATTATTTGGTTCAAGAAAATATTTATTTGATAATAATATTCAAATAATCGATTATTAAAATCAAATAAATTTTTTTAATTATAGATATATAATCAAATATTTGAAAGAAACTGACTCTTTTTTGAAATAAATACCACAAATTTCAATTCAAAATCACATGAAATTCAATTATTTTCAAAAATTTAAACTTAATAATTGAATACTTGATAATAATTTCCATCAAGTTCTTCAAAGAAGCAATTATTAAAAACATTTTTTGATTAAAAATTATGTAAAATTTAATTATTCACAGAATGTAAAAAAAATATTCTGCAATTACAATTTTTAAAAATTTCAATTTGAAATTTTTAGAAATTCAATTACATACTTTTAAAAATTTTCAATTTAAAATCACATGGAATTTAATTATTTCTAAAATTTTAATTATCTTCCATAATTTAATTATTTAAAAAAGGTTATCTTACATTAATTGCTAAATTATTCTCAACCAATAATTTTCATCAAATTTTTCAAAAACTAAATTATTTAAATAATTTTTAATTAAATATTCTGTTAAATATTGAATTATTTAAAATACTTAAAAATTCTGTAAAATTTAATTTTTTTCTAAAATTTTTAAAAATCTTGAAAAATTAAAACGACTTTTTCGCCTTAAAGTCAATCTGAAGCCTGTAAAATTTATAATAATATAATATATATAATAATATACTATGTAAAATAAAAAATTTATAATATATATATGGAATATAAATTTCTTACTAACAAAAGTATTTTTAATAATTCGTGTAATTTTTCTTCTGATTTCAGATTTTGCATAAAATATCTGAAGTTTTGGAACCTGTAGTTTCAATCAAGTCAGCAGATCCTCCAATAGTAAATCCCGATGCTTTGCAATTCTTAAATAACACTGCTCAGCTGAACTTAGGATCACGGCGAACTAGGTAAGCTTTATTCTGATCAATTAACCTAATTTCTTTTTTTTCTTTACATTAAAAAACCTTTTTAAATTTTTTATTATTTCAAGACTTGATATTAAAACACTTAAAATTATAAATCCTATTTTTCTAATTGAAATCAATTATTATATAAATTTAATTACTTCTCGCAATTTTTTTTTCCCATTATTTCATTAGTAAAAATTCGTAAATTGAAAATGATCAACTGGTTCAAAAAAAAAAAAAAAAAAAGATCCACAGCTTTATATGGCAAAAATCGCACAAAGCTAACGCTAACTTCATTACGTGAGATACGAACTCGAAAATTAACTCAGCAACAGTAGAGAGCAGTGAGAGCAGTATAACTGAGTAATAAAACTTTCTTTATTATTTTAGAGGAAAAAAAAAAACTTTTTAAATATGTACAGAAAAGCTGGGTTATACAGAATAATCAATTGAATGGGTTACAGCTCTCTTTAAAAACTATAAAATATTTGCTTTTTATAAATATTATAAAAATATAGAAAAAAAATGTTTAATATTGAAAATAATTTTTTTAAAAAAACTATCTTTTTCCTATAAAATACTGAAATTTTGTCGAGTTGACAAATGCGTTTAAATTGAGAGAGGAAAAAGAATAACATAAGTGGATATATGATCCTGAAAGTCGCGTACTTTCTCCTATACTTGTATTCAGTGAAAAAGGTTGGTAATGGACAGACAGATGTATTATATTACGCCAAGTATACGCTTTCAGAAAATACTTATGTATTTTAATTCAACATTTTTTATTATATTCACAATGAATAATATATAAACTTTCAATCGAATATTATTTCTTATTTTATTTCTAAAGAATTATAAATTTATAATTTTTCTTAAAATTTAAAATAAAATAAAATCACAAAAAAGAAAAAGTATATTTTTTTTACTTTTATAAAATTTATAATTTTTTTGCTTTACAAAAAATCATTTTCTAAATTATATGTAAATTCACAAAAAAAAATTTATCCATGTGGAAAAATTTCGCCTGAAAACTGAATAGAATGTGAAAATCGAAAAAAAATAAAAGCTTATAGGATTCTTGAGCAATAAATAAGGTGCACGTGCCAAGTTCCAAGATTTTCAGCTTTAAAGAAAATTATATTGAACTCGGCCGCTTTATGTGTCTTTGTTCTGCAAAATGTAAATTCTTCACTTTTGTACCAATTTTTCACTTGACGATAAGTTTTAACAAAATACGCTACTGACAATTTACTATATATATATATAGATAGAAAAATACTTTGATTAGAGAATTTATTGATCTTTCCAAATATATATTATAAGCAAACATTTGTATATTTGAAATTTTTCTTTTTAACATTTTTCACTGCTTGTTTAAAAATTTTTTTTATCTCTTGTGAGAAATTAAATAATTATACCAAATATTTTTAAAAAAATATATATGGAAAAATATATTATTTAAAAAATTCTTTTTTTTCAGAACGTTTCGACAACAAGTAACTAATACAGGAAAAGAGGATATATTCAAAGCCGACGGAAAATTTACATTTTTCATTCCTGAGGATGATGGTTTTAAGGTGAATATTTTATTCTTTTGAAGCAAGAAATTTTTTTTTTATTTTTATTAATTCTGGAATAATTTTTCCTTCATCAGATTTTTTATGCATGCCACTCTATCTTTTTGACATATAAATATAGTTAATAAATTTTTATATTAACAAAAAATATTTAATTTTTACAAAAAATTAATAATAATAATTAATTATTTAATCAATTTTTTTAATCATACTGAAAATGATAATAAAAATGAAACCTCATTACATAATTGATCAAGAAGAATATAGAAGCTTTTTATTTATAAACATAAAATTGTTGCAACAAAAAGTGTACACAGCATATCATAACCAACATCAATATGTTTATTGTACTATTTGTTTTCTCTGGAGACCAAATGAAATGAAATTATAGTGAATTGAAGTGTGTCAGAATCATTGCTATAAGGTTTCTCAATTGGTTATACTGTGTACGAAATTGAATTCAGTTTTTACTCTTGGGAAAATACAATCTAGAATATTTTTCCACGCACTGTACTTTGTGAACCAAAAAGAAACCCAGAAAAATATCAGAAAAAGAAAGAAACAGAGAGAGAGAGAGAGAGAGAGAGAGAGAGAGAGGGGGGGCCTGCCTGCTTTAAAAATCAAAATGCTTTATGAATAATTCTCAGCTCATAAATTCCAATATATATATTTTTCGATATATTTAGAATTTTAAATGAATCTTTAAAACGACTACATTTCAACAACAAACAATCAAAAATTTAAAGAGATGACAATTTTACTTTATATAAGTTTTATATTCTCAAAGTAAATATTTGAATATAGAGATATGGATCAATAGGAGACTAAAAAAAAATTGCAAAGTAAAAGAATTTTTTTTAATATAAGGCAGAATTCTAATTTATTATTGCAAAAACAATCATGAACAAAATTTTGTATAAAAAAACAAAATTTTGGTTGAATTAACCAAATAAATATGTATAAAAAAATGTATTTCATTGAAATAATCGATTACTTGACTATTATTATGTCAAATCAATATTTACTTGAAGCAAATAATTTTTATTTGACTTAAATAAATTTGGACCAATAATTTCTTGATTTGAAACAAATACTATTTAATTGACACAAATAATAATTACAGGCCTTGAATTGTACGAATTATTCAAATTTTTATTAAATTCGACATTGTTTCGACTTATTTTAATAAATGGGGACTTTTTCAAATTATTTTACAAAATAAAATTAAAAACAAAATAATGATTTTTTTTAGTACAAACTGTTGCTCTTTCAAAATTCAATTATTTTGAAAATTTTAATCCAAAAAAGTGTTTGTGAAATTAATTATTTTCAATAATTTTAACCAAGTTCTTCTAAAATTCAATTATTTAAAATATTTTTTGATTATTTAATTAAATTTTTTTTAAATATTCAATTATTGTCTGTAATTAAAAAAAAAAAAATCTTCTGCAATTCAATTTTACAAAAATTTCAATTCAAAATCTCTTCAAATTCAATTATTTATATTTATAAAAATCTTTAAAATATAACTCTTCCAAAACGAATTAATATCTAATAACAATTTTTAATAGAAATAAAATATTTATTAAAAATAATAAATTTATGAAAATATAAAAAATCGACTTTTTAGACTTTTCTTCTAATTTAAATCGAGTAAAACGAATTTTTTGTCGATCCGAGGCCTCTGCAATTATTTAATACAAATAAATATTTATTTGCTAATAGTAAAATATTTTGTATTATTTTATTTATTTATTTTTTTTTTGCATTATAGTTTACATAATTTTTTTAAATACAAAGTGCTTCTGCACTAAATGGCATTTTTTCTTTTCTTACAAATTTGTATGCCCGTACATTCACTGCAAAAAAAATTTATTTGATTCAAATACTCGATTACTTGACTATTATCAAATAAATATTTACTTGAACCAAAATAATTTCTAATTAAATTAAATAAATTGTATTTGAACCAATAATTTCGGTATTTGAATCAAATACCATTTAATTGACTCAAATAATAATTATCTGATACAAATAAATAATTATTTGATACAAATAAATAATTATTTGATAATAGTCAAGCAATCGAGTATTTGAATTTCGAATCAAATAAATTTTTTTCAGTGTTGTAATTAAATAAATAAATAACCGACTATTTTATTCAAATGATGTTTTTCAGTGTAATTAATACAGTTTTGGTTGAATCAACAAAAAGTTTATTTGGTTCAATAAAATTCTTTCTTCGTTCGAAAAATTTATTAAAATAAAATAATAAATCAAACGTTTATTTATATTAAATAAATATTTATTTGAATCAAAACAAATTTTTGTTTGAAATAACCAAAAAACTGTATTGATACGAAAATTTGTATTGATACAAAAAAATTGTATTGATACAAAAAAAGTATATCTAGTTAAACAAAACTTTTCTCTGAGTGCAAGTTGAAAACAAGCTTTCTGTTAAGTCGAGTAGTGTATACAAATCATGCATATACAATTAGTCCTTATAAGTTAAGGCTTTCTTTTTTGTATGTATGTAAGAGAGAATAAGCTTTAGTTAAGTTTTGCTGGCAAGGATCCATTCTAAGGTGAAGTCAGTCCTGAAAAGCTCGTTTTCTCGACAGCGAACGATCGACGTATCGGAAAGCACTTCACTCCTCGTTTTAGCTTTCTCTCTGTAGAGCTGAGCTTTCACGTCACGTCCAACCACAAACTGGCTCCCTTTATATATCTTTTTTTTTTCCTCTGAATGTTACCTTTTCTCTCGATTGCTCTGACGTCTGGTTAACAATCAACTTTTGTTAGAAAACGTCTGGACACTTTTTCCTCTAATTTTCTCGTTTTTTTTTCTTCTTCTTCTTTTATTCTTTTCAGCAGTAGTACAAAATTTGACCTGTTGAAATTATTAAATAGCTTTGAAAAAAAAAAAAAAATAGAAATTTTTCTCTTGGAGAGTTGGAAATTTGTAAAAGAGAAAAATATACCTGTGTTTTTTCCGGCGTATTTAACTTTCGACGAAAGCGGAGGATGAAATATGTTCATCAATCAGGTAGTAGTGGCCACTGCAAGTTACATCATACGGCATAATCCTCCTCTTGTCTTTGACGGAGTATCTGCTTACCGTTATATATATACCCGTTACTGTTACATGTTACTCAAGCGAGGCTTTTGCAGCTATTTCATCCCCCGTCTGACAAAGGTACTAACATGGAACGAAAGGGCAAGGGTTGAAACGACGCGTAATTAATGTGAGTAACGCTATCTTGTCGGCGCGACGGGCTAATTAAATATTTGCTTTATACCCAGAGCCGAAACCACATTGACGTTTTCTTGAAAAAAAAGAACCCCAAGAGAAAATGTCAGAGACTTTTCCTTTATTTTATTTTAATAAGTACTTTCTCTCTCGTTGAAAGAATATTATTAAAGGTATCTTTTTTTCTTTTTTACAGCCATCACCGAGGCCGGAAAAAATCGATGGCAGAGTGATTGATGGACACGTGATACCAGGTCATGTCCTTTTCACAGGACCTACACCTAATGACAAACCCTATCAAACTCTTGCAAACGATGATAATCTCAAAGTCACTATAAGTTTTTACACTGAACAAGATGGGAAAAGTAAAAGAGGTTTGATATTTTTTTTTTTTATATCACTGAAAGAAATAATTTCATTGGAAATTCGATTTTTCTAATTTCATTTTCCTAATTTTAGAATTTTCTAATTAAATATTTTCGGAAATATACATTTCTAATTTAATTTTCCTGAAAGTAAATTTTTAAATCTATTAATTTTTACTAAATTTTCAAATGATTTTTTTTATTTAGAAAAATTTCTTGTAATTCAAAGCATAAATGATTTTTTATTTTCTATATGGATAGAAATTTTTTGAAATTAAAAGTTCAAAATTCTATAGGTAATAAATGAAACCATCCGGAGCAATTGTCGCAAATTTTTCGGAACAGAATCCATGTTTAATTTATAATTTTTTACTCTTATTTGGTATATTTAAAATTTTGAATATAATACAATGACAAAAATAAATATTTTACAAATTTTGTTGAATGAAAAAGTTATAAACTAAATGTCGTAATAGAAGAAATTCACTGCATTCGGTAAAATTATATTCGAGAAAATAGATTTTAGGAAAAAAAATAATTAGAAGAATTGAATTAGGAAACAGTAAATATTGGAAAAAAAAGGTTTATTACATTTTTATCTTAACAGTGTCGTAACTTCCGTAGTTTTCAACCTTTTTTGTTGCCCTTGGGCTTTTTTTTCATTTTTTTATACTCTTTTAAAAAAATTTACACCGAATGAAAAATATTGATAAAACAAGGATAAAATTTCAATTTTTCAACAAAACAACAATAGAATTTGTTTTCTTAAAAAGGACTCACTTTTTTTTTGCTCCAAATTTACAGGATTTACTTTATAAAAACTTCATTTGGTATTTCTTTGTTTCTTAGGAGAAAAAATATATTTTCAATAATAACTATTAAATTCAAAAAGTTTAAAAGGTTTCTAATTATTCCTTGACATATTTTTCACTTTTCAACATTATATTAAGAAACGTCGTCAAAAGTAAAGAATGTTAATAATTTGCAATAATATCTAATTTTTTTGAGAAAAAAAAATTGATTTCGAAAAGATTTTTTTTTTCAAAAATTTTTTATGTTTTGATAAATTTGAAAATTATTTACATTTTTCACTTTTGATGACTTTTTTCAAAATAATGTTGAAAAGTGAAATCGGTGTAAATTTTTTTAAAAGAGTATAAAAAAAAGAAAAAAATAAGCCAAGGGTAACAAAAAAGGTTGAAAATTACGGAAGTTATGTCATTTTTAAGAAAAAATGAAAAAAAAGACTATTTTTTGTCAAAAACTTGCGAAGAATACTTACATATGAAATTACAACAATCATATGACCTTAATAAAATATGATTGAATTAGTCAGAAATACCGATTAGAGATTATTCAAATAAAATTTTCTTTTATCGTAATTGGAAGAAAAAAAATGTTTCTTTTTGTAATTTTATTAAAAATAATTTCAGTTTATGTTAAGTCCAACACCTTGGTGGGCGATAAAGATCATCCGACTGGCGTTGTTCTGGCTGAGATCATAAAAGCAAACATTCCAGTTAAAAATGGAGTGGTACACCTCATTCAACGTCCACTCATTGTCGTTGATACAACAATCACGGAATTCCTAATGGTCAGTGTATACACATTTATATATATAAGCAGTGAGCGTAGTCGTTATATTCTTTAATCACTAAAGATAACGTTTTACCTCAATTCTTGCATCTTTTGTATAATAATATACACGTATGAAAGATGCAATGAGGGGCAAAGGATCTTGTGTGTCGTATCAAAGAATCCATTACAATTTTTTACCAAAAAAAAAAAAAAAAAATTACAACTGACGAAAGTCTAGATAATTTTTTTTCTTAAACAAAATCAGAATTTCTTAATGTATTTGAGGAAATTCACCTTTATAATAATAGTAATTCTCTTCAGTCTCTTGTGTCCTCTTTCACTAAACGACAACGAAACGATGTGTTCAGAGAAGCCGATTTAGACTCGTTTAATGGAGTGGTCGCTTGTGGTTTCTAGTGCAACTTCAATCTTTTCCCTTTCTTCAAATCACCCTCACATTCCAAAAATATATTTTTTTTTTTATTAGAGCGATTAAAAATTTAGAAATTCTTTGTAATAGGTATTTAAAGAAATACCCCAGAAAAATATTTTTGAAAAATCAAACAGAATTTAAAAAAAAACGTTTTTGATTCTCGAAAAAAAAACTCATGATTTTTTTTTAATCTCATTTGGGTATGTTCGAATTAAACGAATTTTTGAATAGAAAGAGATTTTAAATGACTGGACCACAAGCTGCATTTATAATTAGTGTTTATTTTTCGGCGTTCGTAATTATATTATAAAGCTCTAAGTGAAAGTCAACATAGAAAAGAAATGTAAATTTCATTTTACTGAAAAACTAAAATTTGACATTTTCTTGCCTCGGATTATATGACTTTTTCCGATTTTTTTTTCGAAAATACGATTTTCTTCGTCTAATTTTAATATTTATTTACCTATATGAATTTTTATTTTTTTTATTTTTAAAAAAATTTTAAACAAAATACGTCTTTTTTACTATACAATGCAAATTTTATTCAGAATTAATTACTTAAATCAGACTTCAAAAAATTGAAAAAAACGGAACTTTAATTTTTTTTTTTTTAGAAAATCCAACTTAATTAAAATTTTGAAAATTTGTCTTAGTTGGATTCTGAAATATTCGAAATAAATTTCTTTGATAATATTCTCATAGAATTATTTTTATTAAGGAATTAATAAAATGAATTTAATATCCAATAACATTAGTTATTTAAAGTAAAATATTTATTAAATAATTAATTTTCTTTTCTTTTCTGTGGACTCGTTTATTGAAAATAAATAAATTTAATTAAAATAAAAAAATCGACATTTTTGAATATAAATCGACTAAAACAACTTTTTTTTCGCCTTAATATCGATCCGAGGTCTGTTATTTTTATATATGGAAAGAAAGATAATTTAAAATTTTTCATGAATTACGCGGATACATTAAATATATAAAATATGATTTTTAAAAATGCTTTTCGATACTCGATACAACAAACAATGCCATATCAAACAATATATCTATCGTTCCCTTTCACATCGTGTTATGTGCATTCGGGTTTATTCTCTATGGCATGTGTCACGTCCACGTGATGAAGCTTGTAAACGAACGTTTCAAGCTCTCGAATACTAATGTCTTCACCTCATCCTCTTCTCTTCAACTTTTTATTTCTATTTTTGCATATATTATTATTATAAAAAAATAGAGAATTTATAAGTAATATATATCGATCAAAAAAAAATTACATTTTTTTTTTGTAATGAATCTCAAAAAATAGCAAAAAAAAAAAATTTCATACTCAATCCACGTTTCACCGCAATCGTGGAACTAATGGTCTCGCTTACGGAATTTAATGCAACAATGAAACTCAACCTCTCGCGGGAGCCGAGGGAAACATATATTATTTGTATGTGGGTAGTCTAGCGCGTAACTTTGTTGAGATTTCTCACTAAAAGTGGAATCTAATAGTTTATCCAATGTTCATGAAAGTATTAAAATTTTTATTTCTTTAAATTATTCAATAGCCTAATTCTTTTTTTCCATTAAATATCAAAAAAAGAATGTAATGCTTTCATAAAATAATACAATGAAAAAAATTTATTTGATTTCAATTAATATCGATTATACTTGACTATTATCAAAACAAAAATCGTAGATAATTTTTAATTTGTTGTTTAAAAGAAAACATTTTTTTAAATTCTAAAATAGAAAAAAAAAGTTGAGGTTTTTGTTTAGACGAATGTATTAGTAAAAATTTCACATCACTTTGAGCAAAGTATAATGTAATTACTGTAGCTGTCTAAATGCAGTAAAGACATCTGTAATAAAATTATACTCACTAAAGTTTCCAACAGTGACTAAATTACTCTTTAGCGACGACGTTCTAAAGTCTGTTCTTAATTATTTTAATGCACACGAGCTTTATTATATACATATATAAATTTTATTTAGCCATCTTAACAATAAAATGTCTCATCAAGCCTTATTTGCAACAGCCTAAAAACTCTTTTTCTTCATCTTTATACTCTTACTCTAAAATGAACAATTTTCTCTCTTTGTTGAAAATTATTCTAGAGAAGAAAAAAAAATTGTTTTTAAAATTCCATAATTTATTTTTTGATTAATTTAATTTTTGCACACTGAAAAAAAAATTTATTTGATTCAAATACTTGATTACTTGAATTTTATCAAATAAATATTTACTTGAACCAAATAATTTTTATTTGAATTAAATAAATTGTATTTGAATCAATAATTTCTGTATTTGAAACAATCACCATTTAATTGACTCAAATAATAATTATTTGATACAAATAAATGTTTATTTGATAATTATCAAGTAAGCGATTATTTGAATGAAATAAATTTTTTTTCAGTGTACATTTTTATAAATAGAACAAAACTCGTTATATGTTCTAAAGGTGTTAAATTTTTGGCATTTAGTTCAATTTTATTTATAAAAGTGATTGTAAAAAGCCATTGTGGCATAAAATCCATGTTGCAGTTTCCACTTTCCTTTTTTTTTTTTTTTTTTTTTTTTTACATCACCAATGATTTATTTTCCATCACTTTGATAGCCAATTCCTCTTTCAATTGACGCTTCGAGAGTATAACTCTCGTAAATCTTTCTAAACTGCAAATACTAACAATAAGCAAATTGAAGAGCAATCATTTTCTAATAGCAAAAAAAAAAATTATTTTTTTACTATAAACATGATTGTTTAATATTTTTTTTTGCAAGTCTTTTTATCTTATTAACAATAAATTTAATTCATGCGCTTATTAATGATGTCTATTATTTACATATCTTTAGAAGATGAAAAAATAAAAAATGTTTATTTTTTGAAAAAAAAAATTTACCACTCACTCCAAATATGGGAAAGAAACGAGGAGTCGATCTTTTTCCCGGAGAGAATGATAAATGATGCCTATAAAAATTTTCTACGCCAGCAGAATCATAATATTAAAAAGAAAAAAGAAAATTGAAGAGTGAGAGAGAGAGAGAGAGAGAGATGTTTTTCTAGTCATATGATTTGAAAGAGAATTTTTTTTTCATTATATATAAATTAAAAACAAATTTTTAAATGAAAAAACAAATCAATAAAAAATAGTTCTAGAAAAGATTAATAGAAAATAAAGTTTTACATCCATTTTCATCTTAAAATATTAAATTATTCAGTTTGTAAATCTTCAATTTCCCAAAACTTTATCTTAGATACTTTTGCTGATGAAAGGTGTGCTTTGAATAAGTCCAACTTTATATAAGAGAATAAATCTACTTATTATTATTCAACTCAGGCCTATATAGAGAAATATTATTCGGATTTTTGAAAAATTGGATATGGATTCTTTGATACTTGACTAAAAAAAGAAAAGAAAAAAAAAATTTGTGCGCAAGAAAAAGTTGAAAAATAATGTGGTAAAATGGGTAAAACATTATCAAAACAGTCACATAACACATTTGCGTTTGACAAAAAGAAAAAAAAAAAAAAAAAAAAAAAAAGACTCATCTCATTACATGTCAAAACATTGATGTTTTCACAAAGCCTCGACATTATATGGAATGTTCACGTGATCATCTCAGCAAAAGGATTCAGTGACCTGCGGCACGTGTCTGCCTACTGTTTGCACCCAATATATCTTTCTACTGACAGTATCAAATCAAATTTGTTTAATTTTAGAAATTTCATCTGCAAATCTTTTTACATTAATTAATTAATTATTATATTAATCGAGAAATTAGTAAACAAAAAATAGTAATAATAAAAAATTTTTGTTTATAAAAAAAAATTTGTTTTTATTACTATTTTTTTTTTTTTACTAATTTAAAATTAGTCAGATTTGGTAATAATTAATTATAATTAGTTTGAACTTTAATTAATTACTTTGAAATTTGCCTAATTATCACATAAAGCAACAATGGACTTCATAAAGGAACAAATTTGTCCAAAGTGTTTATTCATTATCATGTGTCAACGACCTAGTTTGAGTGTGACTCTATATAGTGATACAATGAAGAAAGGTGGTAATTGACATTATTAACCCCTTGATCAAAATTTCTTTTACTGGTTCATGTATATGAAGATATCATATGCTATTTTTATACTTTTATTTTTATATTTTTAATGTTAGAATATTTTCTAAAAATTTTAATTTATTTATATTTTAATATTTTTCAATGAATTAGTATTAATTTTCGATTAGACTTACTTTTTTTTATTTGTACCAAAGAATACAGCCGTAGGAATACCATTATTGGCACTAAATATTTACATTAAATTAAATTAAATTTATCAATATAAGAAAAAATAAAAAAAACTTTTATAATTTGTAAAAAAAAAGGAAAATATTTGAGTAAATAATTTAATATAGAGGGAGTAATAGACAACAGTCTTATTTTTAATTTTATAAATCAATATATTATTATTATTATTATTATTATAAAACGTCAATTACGTGACGTGTTTAATTTATATGTTTCAATCATTGTCAATTTATGATTCAATAAAAAAAAAGAATAATAATAAAATCCGTAAACATTTCGACAG